CTGCTGCTGCTGCGTCTGCTGCTGCGGCTGTTGCTGCGGCTGTTGCTCCTGCTGCTCCAGCTATAGGGTTGTCTGAGAAATAAGAGTTAGTACCTACCAGAAGAGGAGGGAGATTCCCCAACTCTTCCTACCTGCCCCAGGCTTCAAGACTTTGCCTCCCTCTAGGGCCCCCACTGAAGCCTCCTCTAGTGCTCAGATCCCAACTCCACCCCCAGAATTCCACCAGTGGAGACCTAGTGAGGCACTCTCCTCGCTTACTCTAGTCCCCTCATCTGCAGAATGGGGGTAACAGGGAGCTTCTCTCACGGGGGAAGCACTGAGCTGGTGGACTGGGCAAGCCCAGCACAGGACCTGGGAGGGAGTAGAGGCAGTCTCCCTCCCCCTTCTGATCCCCTAAGCTTTCCTGGCAGGGGTGACCACAAATTCCTTTCTCTCAGTGCAGCAGAGACAAAGTCGGGATTTTTCAGAAGGAGCTTTACTAGGACATTAAGAAGAAACAAAGACTTTTCTTTTAAGTCTGGAGAGCGTGGGAGCATGGATTCCAGGCCCTGGGTTACCCGGAGAGTTACATAGTCCACAGCCCCAAATGACTGAACATCAGCCTTGCGGCCCCTGGGAGCTTGGGCCTGGCCTTGCATGAGCAAGGTTTATTCCTGTAAGGTCACTAGGATTCTCCTCTGGACCTTGAACCTCCCCATCCTGTCTCCAGGGCCTCAAGAAGCCCCACCACCACTACCACATAGGCCCTTAGGTCAGCTGCTAGAGGAGAGAGCGCCTGCCTGATGGGTCCCCTCAGAAAGATCTCCACCCTGGGCACATTCCCCTGCAGTCTTTGGCCAGCCACTTGTGACCTTCCTCAGTTCCCATCTTAAGTCCCCAGGTTGCCCAACTCCCAGACCACTTGTCCATCTCTTGTCTCTGTCCACTCCTGTATCACATCCCCACTTAGCCACATTCAGCCCTGCCCTAGGCCTTCTCTTACCATCTCTTGTCCAACCTCCAGCTGGGGCTTTATTTTTATTTTTTTTAATTGTCAGAGGGCATGTGCACTCATGAGAGAGCGAGAGAATGCTCCCCAATGGGACATGATCACGCCACAATCCCTTCTCCTCCATTTCCCCATCCTGCTGGGATTCAAGGCATACACACACAAGCACCCAGTGTGCTTTTCTTTTCTTTTTTTTTTCAATTTTTTTAATTCATTTTATTT